GCTCGACCCTTTACAAACACGTCTAGCCTTATGTTGACTTTACAATCGATCTCACGGGTGCCAAGCGGGTTGCTAACGCACGCCCGTGTGAACTCATTGTGATTAACCTCTCATAACTTTTAAGGTTAGCCATACCACGGACATAGTTTGATTCATAGATATACTGGGTTTAGTGGCAGTGAAAATTATACCAACTTACTGTTATTGTAGCTTGTTGTTTACATTCAAAATAAAAAAAAAATGATGGTATCTACAACACATTTCTATACTCGGTAGAGCCGTGCTGAATTTTTTATAGCTGTAGCACAAATGCGTCGGCTCAATGGGGAAAGACCACGCTCTCACAGAATACCAGCGTAAAAATATCAACTTAATGGTACTGTGTTTCGTATGGTGAGTGTAGAGATTCGGACACCCTTTTTACTGGGAACGAGGCATTCCGTCTTAGTCCTCAGGGGTGACAACGCATCTGCATGTTATTTCTTAATCGAGGATAGATGTAGACGTTAATTAGCCACAGTTTCCACTTTACATGGACTGTATGCAGTTTTGTCACCCTTATTCTATATAAAACCTACCTACGTACCTGTTTTTAAATCTAAATTATTACATTTATTTAAATACAATACTAATTAATTATGTATAATTTAAATAAAATTTTATAAAGGTAACGCTAATCTGTGCAATATAAGAATATACGTATATATTGAGTTTTGGCGTGAACTTGAACGGTGGAGGATTGCTGCTCTTGTATTATTGTTGAAATAATGGTTTGAAGTGGATTTTGATATGTAGAAGTGGTGCGATTTTGTGTATTAAGTGTCTACGCATGTGAACTATTAGTGGAAACGGTGAAACAAGTGCTCTGATGGTGATGTGATTCTCAAGATAAGGTGTCTGTCTGCCTAGACGCCTTGAGATACCATCGCCAACTGTCAGCTGTTTGCTGACTCAAGTTGTCGTCAAAATCTCCCAAGGGCTGCACAATGTGACGCATCAACATATTGTGAAGCAGTGTACTATGAAGAATAATTATACATTGTAACTTCAGGCTCAAAAGGGCTAGAACCCAGAGACGTAAAGCCACTTATAATAAAAAACACGTTTATACTATGATTATGCATAAATTTTAATAGGCATTTATTATTGTAATATAGTGATAGAATGTTGGTCAATGTTATTCTTTTCTATAATCTTAATTTATATTTTAAATTAAACATACCTAATTATTTTTTTACAATTGTGTCATTGAATAAAATTAATCTATGTCGTGATTACCTGTAGAAAGAAGTACTATTATCTTGAGTATTCAAATATCATGTACATATTGTAATACTATTGTTGTTTCTGTTGGTAGTCCTAATACAATAAATAAATAAAAAAGAATCTATTAAGTCAAAGACACGTATTACACAAACTGGATGAGAAGTACCTTGACATCGTTAATTTAGCACAGACGCTAAGGGAGTGGCTAGGAAGGAACAACTTATAAATGAAGGTGCGCAATATTGATCTAATAGCTTTTGCCACCCTCAACACCCTTCAAATACCTAAGGAAAATGGCGCGTCTGCACAAACGATAGAAACGATCAAAACCGAAATAAATATACGAAGTATTTTTCCTGTTTTTATATGCTACCCTTATTTGTAACTGTAGTAACAAACGAGCTGATGGTAAGTGGCAGAGCATGCTGCAGCTATATTAGTAGTATAGTTGTAGCACGAATGGGTCGGCTCGACCGGGGAAGGACCAAGCTCTCACAGAATACCAGCGTAAAATAGCAGCTTAATACTGCTGTGTTTCGTATGGTGAGTGTAGAGAACCGGAGACCCTTTTTACTGGAAAAGAGGCATTCCATCTTAGTCCTCACGGGTGACAACGTATCTGCATTTTGATTCGCAAACAAGGATAAATGTAGATGTCTATGGACCACAGCAACCACTTACCATCAGGTGGACTGTGTGCTCGTTTGTCACCCTATCCTATAAAAAAAGTGGATACTGCACCCATGCACACGGGCAACAATCTTCAAACAAAAAAAATAGACTACAGATGCGTTGTCACTTCTAGTCCTCAGAACTCTATTTTTATGAATAGAATATTTAGATGGAATACAGGCTGTGCTGTAATTATACTAACTCTGAAACGCTTAAGACTGTCGCTAAACAGTAATGCGTACTGCTTTACGAGAACACAGAAATGGTAAGACGGTGGTACATATCCAGACGGATGCCTATCGGTGGTAGGAAAGGAGTTTTACCACCTTTCCATTGTTTATATATTGCAATATTGAAGTTAAGTTCTCTTTACTCAGATTTTAAGGTCTTCTGATTGCCAAATCCATTATTAAATAGTACACCGTTAAGAAAGAACCGAGGGAGCTAAAAAAGCCGCGGTAGCTCACTCGCCGTATATTTCACAATACACGAAAAACCCAGGTTCGATCCACACCAGCATCAATAAAAATTTTAATCGCTACTTTAGGAGATCATTTACCAAGTGCTTCGCGGTGAAGAAAAACATCGTGATCGTAAAAATATTTCAAAGATATCTGATGTCCTCTAACACGCAGTGCACCAGCGCGGCGGATTAATTGCTCCATAATTCCCTCAGAAATGAGACGATGCCTGTACCCAGTAATCAGAGGTATAATTTTATAAATAAAAAAATGTCCCGTTGGGTTTCTTGCTGATTTTTCCCAGAACAAAGTTATTTTTTTCTGAACCAGTGGTAGAATAAAAAATACTTTCAATAACAATTGCATACATGTAATCTATATTGAATAAAAATTATTCTATTCTCTTCTATTTACTTTAAGTGCTTTTTATCGTTTATAGCAGCCAAGTAAAACGTAAAATAGGGTGATTTATTTCCAACTGTATACTCATACAAATCACGATGTCTTACTACCTTTACAAGGCTTTTCCTTAATTCGTGAATAAACTAGTAACGGATCGTTATTTTCTTTAAATGCTTTTGGTAAAACCTTTTTTAAAACCTTTAAAATACTATAAATAAAGTTTAGTATGAGAAGCTTAGGAAATTATTATTAATATTTTTTTATAGGATAAGAGTGACAAGCGAGCACACAATCCTCCTGATGGTAAGTGGTTGCTGTTGTCCCATAGACATCTACATCTATCCTCGTTTGCGAATCAAATGCAGTTTGCGTTGTCAGCCGTGAGGACTAAGATGAAATACCTCTTTTCCAGTAAAAAAGGTATCCGGTACTCTACACTCACCATACGAAACACAGCAGCATTAAGCTACTCCTTTACGAGTGGTATTCTGTGTGAGTGTGGTCATCCCCGGTCAAGCTGACCTATTCGTGTTACGACTAGACTATTAATATAGCTGTAGCATGGCTCTACCACGTAAAAAGTAACATAATGCTGCGACACGATAATTTATTTAAATACGTGCGCTTTCGTAATTTGCCAACCGTACAATTACATTGATGACGGTAATAAAGCAATACATACACAGACTTGTAAATATACCTACGACGTAATCTTTGCTTGCAGTTTTTGTTTATTGCATGTTAGGAAATATTCACACAGCCGCTAGTCGAATCGACCGGACATACGATGTCCTCTTTTTAACCCAGACGTCGGGCCCAAAACGTAAAGTGGAGCGTAAATAATATTGCAAACAAATTGTAAAGTGAGAGTGAACAACTGTGAAATTCATGACCCCATAGCAAACCGGCACACACCTTTTTTTTTCTTTTGTACTCTATCTACATATCAATATATCAAAGGCGGGTTAGTTGCTAGGAACCCGCTTTTGTAAAACACAACAAAGACGATATGAAGGGGTGATTGTTTGATAATGTGTAAGAAAAACCTTTTTTTTTCTTTTTTACTTTTTATTTCAACTAATTTCAAAACCTTGTTTTATATTAGGGTGACATACAGTCACATAGTCTACCTGATGGTAATGCATGCTGTGGCCCATAGACATCTATACCTAATTAACAATCAGAATTTGCATGCGCTTTTATCGTTGATGTTACCAATGAAAAGGTTCTCCGGTTCTCGGCACTGACCATACGAAACACAGCAGCATTATGCTGCTATTTCACGTTGTTATTCTGTGCGAGCGTGATCCTTTTCCGGTCGAGTCGATTCAATCGTTTTGCCATAAATTCGCTGCAGAATAGCTCTACCATTATATTGAACTAGCCACGGACCTCTCATTTCTGAGTGCATTTTATATCATAGAAGATTAAGCTACACTGGCCCAACGTGTGTGGACACTTAGCCGGTAGTGATGACGTACGAAAGACCACTACCCCATAACATCCCGTGGGTGTCGAAAGAGGCGACAAATGAAAATGAAACAAGAGATAGAAATTAATATTATCAACTAAAAACAATTAAAAAAAGAATCTGGTTACCGACTCGTCTACCAGCGGCGCAACTACTGCAAATATGAAATAACTTATAAGCAGCAGTGGATTTTAATAGGATTTCATGAATGTATTGTTAAAATAATTTCCAGACATACAGGTTTTATCACGATGTTTTCCTTCGCCGCCGGGCACGTGGTGAATAACTTAACCATTTCATTGTCCCTTGAGTCACATATGAACATTTCGGTTGTTTAACTATTGTGTTTTCTTCGTGGACAGGGATTGCAATTAATCGAACTTGGTGTGCTTCCGTACATTTACTTATCACGAGTTACACTTATTACCTTACACTTTCATGATCTGCCGGTTATCAGTTAGTACCTCACACTTATGACCTACCACGGTTGTCAGTATCAAAAAGTATTGATGAATAAAGTATGCCCACTGTTCGTACTGAGTGAGAATTTGAGCAATGCGTGTTAGAATTACATCAATCTCAACGATATCCCATAAACTTGTGACAGAAACGTAAATTAAGTTAGTCACGCGACGGTGTTCCCTGAACGCTGAGGTGTATCGATGAGATTAACGAAGCTCCTTTAATTAAGTTAAATTATGACGTTATAATTTCGGTTTTGTTTACAGATGGATGGCTCCAGTGAGTTTGGCGATTCATGCCCCCGGTGCTGATTTAGCTCCTACTGTGAACAGCATTCGCTACCTCCGCGACTGCCTTGGCAACGATCTCATCCGTCAATACGTCACGTTTCATGTTTTCTTCTCAAACAAACACATACCCAGCAAGGTACTATTTTCTGCCTTTACGACTTTCTTCACATTCCCGCTTTTTGTTAAACTACAAACAATCATAAACAAAAGAAACACTGCCCAATTTTTTATAAAAACAATTCCTCTATTTTTTTTAAATAAATTTGTTAATCAATAATAAATGGTGTATTTATAATTTTTTTTGTGATTTTTAGATTCCTGATCCCGAAACCTTTCTTCTGACACCATACAACTGCACAACCCAGCCGCCATACTACGTCAACGCATCCACAACTTACATGAAGACCAAAAACCTACTATACCCAGTTAATGTTGCAAGGAACATAGCTCGGGACTCTGCCTTGACACACTTCATTCTCCCATCAGACATAGAATTGTATCCAAGCCCGAATCTCATTCCCCGATTTCTCAATATGATCGCCAGAAACGCTAAACCTTTAAACACTTCCACTAAACCAAGAGTCTTCCCTATAAGCATATTTGAAGTTGACGCAAAAGTTCAAGTAAGTGATCGATATATTAAGTATGTTTTAAAATCCGATGTTATTTTTGAAATTGTATTCATACGTATTTATTTATTTGTTTATTCCTAAATATAAACACTTTAAAATATAGTACCTATACATTGGGCAGACATAATGCAATACACGGCATCATTTGCCGGTCATCCTTGGGAGACAACGGTAATAAATAAAATTAGAAATAATGCATCTAGTAAACAGCCCTAAACTAATTAGGTAATATATTTATTTGAGAACACGTAGGTATGAGTTTATCTTTAGAAATGACTTACCAAGTTTTTCTGCGTTAGTGTCTTTCAATTAGTTTGTCTTTTTAATAACTTGTGATAAGTTTTACGTTATACAAGAAAATAAAATTTTTAATAAAGATAAATAGAGAGTTATTCGTGCTCACGGACTTTATGATTTAAACTTTAAAGACATTTTATTTTCAATTGTCATTTCTTTTTTCTAATTATCACATCCTTATGTCTCAAACTATTGTTTACCCTACTGGTCCACTATATTATAATTTTTTTTATTTTATATAATAGTATGTACTTATTTAACTTGGACTTGGACCCTTTGGCCCAAGCAATGAATTTCCTTAGATTTATTAAGTGTTATTTTCCAATCAAAATCAATATATCTTTGTTTTTACATAAATAATATATAACGAAATAAATTTATTATATTAAAGTTTCATTAACTTTTATGAAATGACAGATATTCTAATTTATAATATATATATATATATATATATATATATATATATATATATATATATATATATATATATATATATATATATAGGGTGACAAACGAGCACACAGTCCACCTGATGGTAAGTGGTTGCTGTGGCCCATAGACATCTACATATATCCTCGTTTGAAAATAAAAATGCAGATGCGTCGTCACCCGTGAGGACTAAGATGGAATGCCTCTTTTCCAGTAAAAAGGGTCTCTGGTTCTCTACACTCACCAAACGAAACACAGCAGTGTTAAGTTGCTATTTGACGCTGGTATTCTGTGAGAGCGTGGTCCTTCCCCGGTCGAGCCGACCCGTTCGTGCTACAACTATACTACTAATATAGCTGCAGCATGGCTCTGAAATTTAAACTGAATAAAACTAAATTTTATATGTCGTCTTATCTAATTCTTGCTTTACAGGTCCCCTCTACTAAAACCGAATTACAGGCGATGCTGGCGAAAAAGACGGCGATACCATTCCATAAATACGTGTGCCCCAATTGCCATAACATACCACAAGGCCAACAATGGATGAACGCACCTGAAACTAACCGTAAGTAACTGTATACATCTGTCCATATAGCCTTAATAATCTATTGCAAAAAGCGTATGACGTCATGACGGATGTAACAATTCCTTACAGATTGCCTTACATTACGTAATTCTTAAAAACATCTGAAGACTTTTACATCGTGTCTTGCCGTATGCGTATTATAAAATCTAACGACAATATTTAAAAGCTAATATATTACAACATCATCATCATCATCATCATCATCATTACAACCCTTCACACGCCCACTGCTGAACATAGGCCGCCCCCAAGGAATGCCACAAAGCACGGTCGTGAGCTACCTGCATCCATCGACTACCTGCATGTCTTACCAGGTCGTCACTCCATCTAATGTGGGGACGCCCTACACTACGCCTACCGATGAGAGGCTGCAACTCGAGAACCTTTTTCCCCATCGGTAGTCGGTTCTTCGAGCTATATGGCTGGCACACTGCCACTTCAGCTTACTAATCCGTTGGGCTTGTCGGTCACTCTAGTTCTGCTGCAGATATCCTTATTTCTAAGTTTATCACGCAGACAAGCCCGAGCCGAGCTTCGAGCATAGCCCTCTCCAAAGTACGCTGAGCAACCTCGAGCGTTCTCATATAACAAAACTTAGCTAAATATGGAGTTTTACGCATTTTATTTAAAAGATTATAAAAATTAAAGAATAATGGTACAAATGTACACATATATACATACATATGGTAATAATTCCTCAAGTAGAACCGAAAGAAACTTCTTGTTATTATAAAATGGGTAAGTATATGATCGACTTACACTAAAGCGCAAATCAATTTCTTTAGTAAATTAGTCATTTTTTCATTTCAACCTTTTATAATCCTTACAAACATTTGCAAATTTATACCACAGATTTCCCATCCACGAGGTAATAATAAAAAATAAATAAAGGAAGCTTAAAACATCCGCGTTAATTATAAAATCGTTTCACTCGGAATCAAACGGGTTAGCTTTTATCAGGTTAGCTATAAAAGTTAAGCCTTTAATGGATACCCTCCAACGATAAACTAGCTCATTCATCGGACTAATCAAGGCTTCCATACGGCCATCAACCTGACTTAATGACTACGATTTAGTAGCAAGATCCTGGAACAGTGGCTTAATGCCTTCTAAAGCATGGAGCCGTCTGGAATAAGTACTAACGATCAACATAAAATTCAGACAACTTCTCCAGCAACTGTACTTATAAAGTCCACGTCACTTGTTCATCTATTGTTCCGGGTGGACTTTAGTATTTGTTTTAACACTAACTTCCTGATGAACTGGAAACTTGAAACTTTGAATAAGGAAGGAAGGGTAATATGGTCACCTTAAGTTTTGCCGCCCTGTATAACCAAAACTAAGAGGCGGGCAGAGACAAAAATTCAAAGTCGTAGAATATAACTAATATATTAAGAAAAAATAGCAAACAAGTTTTGGTAATAATTAGGAACACTTCGAAAAATCAACTTAAAAAAATTAACTACACAACACAATACTAAAATCGACTAAAATATTAAAATGGCTTCCATCAAGCTTCGCCGTTTTGACCCTTTATTATTTGAATGACTGGTGCGTAACTATCGTATCACATAGGCTGTAGTTTTTGAGTTATAAGAAAGTGACAATAGTCCCTCACGTAATATATAGCTCAAATTCGGATGAGAATGCAAGAATATGATGAAAATTTCACTTGTTTAGGAACTACGAATATCAGGAACGTAGATAAAGAAACCGGAAACTGCCACAATTTCAATTTCTGTATTACTTTTAGGCGGGCATTTAGTTCGATCAAAGAAATTAATAAAATAATTTACATATAAACTTCCAGTTATATAACGAAACAATTGTAACGTGAATGCCCATTACCCTACATCCTTTCGAACACAAAAAATCTCATGACTTGAGTGACTTGACAATAATAATTTATTATAAAAATTTAATATTTTATACACATACATTTTTACATTATAATCCTGGTTAGGTCAGGCACTCAGGAAATTTGAGGCGATTGAGTTTCCGTGGTTTATTATGTTTTTTTTTTTTAATATTGGTTGTAGGTTATTTTAAAATCCACAGCCAAATGCAAACGTAGTTGTTTTACGTATTTATGGATTACCAAACTATGTTTTTGAACAAGTTATGTTTTTGAACGAAAAGAAATGACTTCAATACAGTTTTTATATTTGGTGTTTCACTGAACCGGTCTATGGTTCAGTAAAACACCAAATATGGCTATTGTATGACTAGCTTGTTGTATATATGGCTTTAAATTCTGAGTCGAGAAAATACTCTTTGGCTATATTCAAATATGAAATAGGAGTACCTAACTACAGTTTATTATACATATAGGTGGTGAGAATGTTTATGAAGCAGAAAAAGCTACCCCAATGTGTCAATGTGTGTAGGCGGTCATCACAAAATGTCCTCTAGTTTTTTATTAAAACTCAGACACAGATTTCCTCACGACGTTTTCTTTTGTCGCCGAGTATTCGATAGGTAATGCAGTTTTTAAAATTGCAATTAACTGTTTTAAGGCGAACGCTTATAGCTATCAATTCTTTTTAATATAAAAATGATTATTACTTTTAATATATATTATATCTCAGACCAAACAACAAGATGATGGAGCACTGCATACATATCAAATGACTCAACTCAACTTCTGGACATGCCCTTGCACACAATTTTTTTTCGTTTTGTTCTCTAACAACCCGTAAACGTCCAAACATATGCACTTTTAACCAATTTTTTGGTTGCAAATGATTTAAGATGCATATTTGAGTGCGTATATGTATTCTTACGGTAATACGAGCATACTTTTTGCTTAGTGGCGGTGTTACTAGAAATATACGCAGCGACTCGTGTCCCTTTCTTTGTTGGTCTAAGATTTAAATTAATTCTATTTATGCAATTATTCTTGAATGACCCTTAATGCTTAAAACCTTTAATAAGAATGCTTGAAGAAAAAGTTGCGATTGTACATTTTAACGATTATGACGTGGGCCATTAATGTTTATTGTTTGCCAATTACGATGCAACAGTAATTAATCTTGTGCAGTTAGCATCGTGAGTTATTTATGTCAATGGCTGGAGCAAACCATGGCAATTGTACGGGGCATTCTAATTGTGTATTATGGTTCGACGACCTCAACACACTCGCGTTTTGCAGACGTTCGGCACACACTTTTACGCCAATATGCAAAATCTTTCATGTACAGAATGGAACATCTTTACAAATTACAAACACACTTACGGTGAAAAAGCTAGCAAACTTTAAAGTAACATCGATCATTTTAAATATTTTCATAGAGTTGCCAAATAGTTATCTAAAAAAATATATAAAAATAATTATTGTTTACGTACATACGTGTTTAAATTATTTTTTTCCAGTTTTTTATTCTTTGATGTACTTTAAATAAATTTTGCTGCGTCTTCCTAATAACGACTAAAAATAAAAAATAAACTGCGGTGGCCAACGCGCTTGCTAAGCGTAGCAGCAATGGCAAATATCCCTTCTTTTTTAGCCTCCCTGGTAGAGCAATGCTGCAGCTATAATATGGTTGTAGCAAGAATGGGTCGGCTCGACCGGGGTAGGACCACGCTCTCACAGAATACCAGCGTAAAATAACACTTATGGTGCTGTTTCGTATGGTGAGTGTAGAGAACCGGAGACCCTTTTAAATGGAAACGAGGCATTCCATCTTAGTCCTCAGGGGTGGCAACACGTTTACCTTTTGATTCAAAATCGAGGATAGATGTAGATATCTAAGGACCACAGCGTCCACTTACCATCAGGTGGACTGTGTGCTCGTTTGTGACCCATATTCTATACAAAAATAAAAGAAATGAGACTATCTTATGGGGGAGGCCAATTTTCAGCAGTGGTATTTAATAATAGGCTGTAACGGTAACGGTAAATTAATAATATTTAAATGCACTACGTATTATGTACTATACTAAACAACATGTCATTTATAAAAGTTGTGTATAATTTGCAGAAATGGACGTATTTCACGTGGGAAAGCGTCGAGGCAAGTATGTACACTGGGAACCGATCTTCATCGGCACCCACCAAGATCCCTACTACGACGAGCGACTTAGCTGGGAAGGCAAGAAAGATAAAATGACTCAGGTATTAAGACAATTATACGAGTAATCCCTTTAATTATATTTATTCGTCTGTAAACGTCTTACTACGAGTGCGTTTTCTTTATGCAGCTGTTTCTGCTACTTCTTTTTGAAAAAACCTTTCCAGCAAAACTATTAATAAATTCACCATTATCCATTTCACATACACTAAGATCTACGGTTACTGCTTTAACTTTGAGGCGATGTTGCTATACTTTCTAACATTTTCGAACCTCTTAATATCCACTAAAATGTTTTTCATGAGGCAAAAAATTGCGCGAATATCATATTACACTTACAGTGCTGTGTGAAGTTAGAAAATCGAATTATAATAATTGGCTCGATAAAAAAGTCATAAAGAAGAGGATAAATTGCTATTTTTTTTTATTTATTTATTCTTCGCAAAATTTAAGCAAATACTTACTGACGTATTAATGTCGCCATATTGTAGAACAGGTGATTGGCAAAATTACACTCAATGTAACACTTTGCTCTACTCTGACGCCTACCATAATTAAAAGTTTATCTTTAATTTTATTTTTTTATGCAATCATATTTACCATTTTAAATTAAATTTCAATTAAATTAAATAACGTACGTGAATTTAAATTCGTACCTTGCAGAAGTTCTATAATAAAACCATGTAAAAGTTATATCAAGTTAAAGGGCGTATTATTTTTAGGTAATGTTAAGAACATAGTTTAAAAATTCGTTTTGCAAAATAAAACAGTTAAAGCCGTTGTGCCCACCCAGACCCTTGCCCACCGAGACATCTATCGAGGTTTGACGTGCGTTGCTTTTTCTAAAATTCTCCTCGCTCTCGGGCTTAGGGTACTCGCACGACAGTTGCGGGGAGTGATGAAACGAAATAAGACTACAGATTTTAGAAATTTCGTGAGGAATATACACATTGCACAGCGACTCTCTTTTTCTTAAGATTAGACGACATAAATGATAAGTTCGTGGAATGTGTTCATGCGGTCGGAGCTAAGTTTTGCAAGATCCGCCGCAGAAGAACAGAAAAACTCTCCGACCACACTCTGTTAGACGGGAAATGAAGCTGCAGTCTTCAGTATATTTGACAGCATACAGGCAACTGAACAGACAGATCTACAAATATATGCGGCGGGACTTACGGAACTTTAATACTGCTCGTATTGAAGAAGCGATCGAGCTGAATCAGGGCTCCAAAGTCTTTGCTAAAGATCTGTCTGCCAAAAAGAGCCAACTGCCGAAGCTGAATACCGAGTGTGGTAGCGTCGTTTCCGGGACAGCTGTGTGAGATTTAGAGGTTCTACGGGCAGCTGTGCACATCATAGTTGGAGCCACACGCAAGTGTGAGTAACGATCCAAGAGCAAGTCTTATCCGACACTATTCCAATGATATTCCGGACGTCAATCTGAGCGAGATTAGAAGCCCCAAGCGAGGACGAGATTACAGCGGAGCTTCTGAAATCAGGTGGAAAACCGGTATTTGAAGTACTTCATAAGCTCTTTAATTCCGTTCTCTATGGTGGCACTACACCGGAGGCGTGGAGCAGAAATGCGGTAGTCTTGTTCTTCAGGGAAGGCGACAACACTCTTTTGAAGAACTACAGATCGAATTCGCTTCTGAGCCGCGTCTACGTTTTCGAGAGTCATTACGAATCGTTTCGCATGCAGACTCGACGACTTCCAGCCTCCCGAACAAGCCGGATTCCGAAAATGCTTTAACACCATAGACCACATACCCTTCGGCAAATTGTACAGAAGTCCAATTTGCCACTATGTCTGGCGTATGTGGACTATGAGAAAGCCTTTGATTCCGTCGAAATCAGGGTGGTGCTGCAGTCCCTTCAGCGGTGCCAAGTTGACTGTCGGTATATCGAAGTGCTGAAGTGTTTATACAGTGGGGCTACAATGGCTATCTGAGTACAGAACCATATATAAATACGAATAGTACGAAACCTATTCAACTATAGAGAGGTGTAAGATAGGGTGACGTTATATCCCCGAAACTCTTCACTGCTGCATTGAAAGACGTTTTCACGCTTCTGAGCTGGAAAGGATACGGTATTAACATCAACGGCGAGTACATCACTCTCCTTCGATTTGCCGACGATGTAGTCGTTATGGCAGAATCGCTGGAGGATCTGAGCACTATGCTCAATGATCTCAATAGTGCCTCCCAACCGATAGGTCTTAAGATGAACATGGACAAAACGAAGATCATGCATAACGTCCATGTCACACCTATGCCGGTAGTTTTTGGAAGCACTAAGCTCGAAGTTGTTGACGAATATGTTTACCTGGGACAAATAGTCCGACTAGGTAAGTCCAACTTCGACCGAGAGGTCAGTCGACGGATTCAACTCAAATTACAGCACATCTTCTCGTCAAGTATACCTCAAAAGTTAAAAACGAGACTGCACAAATAGTGCGTGTGGCCAGTGATGACCTATGGAACTGAGACGTGGTAGTTCACTGCTGGCCGGATGAGGAAGCTCAAGGTCGCTTAGCGAGCTATGGAGAAGGCTATGCTCGGAGTTTCTCTGCGTGATAAACTCAGAAATGAGGATATCCGCAGTAGAACCAGAGTGACCGATATAGTCGTACGGATTAGTAATCTGAAGTGGCAGTGGTTCGGCCATATAGCTCGAGGAACCGACAACCGATGGGGAAAAAAGGTTCTCGAGTGGCAGCCTCTTACCGGTAGGCGAAGTGTAGGGCGTCCGCACTCTAGATGGAGTGACGACCTGGTAAGACGTGCAGTAAGTCGATGGATTAGGACCGTGCTTTGTGGCATTCATTGGGGGAGGCCTATGTTTAGCAGTGTACTTGTGAAGGACTGTAACGTTGATGAATGAAAAGAAATAACAATATAAAACATCAACATAATAACAATAAAAAAACAGTCTGTATTTAAAATCCATTAATTAACAAGGCAGTAAAATACTCGACCTAAAGTGATCGAAACTTTGCATGTACAATGTACAACCTGCGTTCAACAACACCATCGATATGCAGATTTACTGCGTTGTTAAACTCCACCGTTATTCTTGCGATTATTATGCACTTAATTCCGACACTCTTAAATTCATGAACACGAGCTTCGAATTGAAAGTGCAGCTATGCAGCTATTCACACATAACTTATGACTCGATAGTATGCAGTGTTCGCCGACATATGATGGTATAACCTATATAATACACAAATATATATATCACCTAATATAATGAATCTTATACAACACATATAACCAAATTTTGAAATTGTGAAGTTTCAGCTTTAACTAAAAATTATCTCTAAATAACGGCCTTAGTGTGATGCAGAGGCGTAGCGTAGATTAATAGAGATGTGGGCGAAGTTACATCAGCGAGGCCCCTTTTCTTTCGTTCCCAAGATCTACCCAATAGATCTATCCTACCAAACATGCTTTGGCACGACACACCGACTCATAGCTATTAATTTTTGACAATCGAGAACGGTCGCGGTCTTTGATGGAAGCCCCAAATGAACACGCTTTTAAATTTATGACGTTCTTTTTCAAGCGTAAAAGTGATCATATTAGTTGGTCATCTGTGGTAAAGTCTGGGAGCCCTCGACTACGCCTAGCTACGTCGCTGGTGTGATGTACTAATAATATAGCCCTCTAGACCGAATTTCGGTCACGGTGGTCAATCTCAATGGACACTAGCAATCTACACAGGACAGAGCTCAAGTGTATGCGCAAGCACAAGTTGCACTCTCCATTTCCTCATTCTTATAGTCAGATGGGACGGTAATCCGACACGGCCGAATAGAGATCAAGCGCAGAGCCCACGACTTTACGTGCTTTTCGTGGCACTGGGGTGAAACACCGCCATCTTTCTATCACTGAAATCGACTATCACCATCAGTTACTAATGTACTAAGTAGTCTTTATCCGACTGTGTCTGGTCTGGTGTAACACTTATGCAAAAATATTAGAGGCAAATGCAAGCATGCAGTCCATAGAATTAAAACTCAACCAAGCCTAAAATCCAACAATTTTTATTTGCACCTGCGACGTAATAGCCGAGTACTCTGACCAGCATGCAGCACGTCAGAACACACATAATATTTTTTTGTATTTAAGTGACAAACGACTTAAGTCCATCTGATACTAAGTGGCTACTGCAGCACATCACTTGCAGCTTAATTTAAACAAGGAATGTAACAGATACGTTTACTCAACAACTCAAAACTACAACTCCAAATACTAAGATGGATTTCTTCACAGCCTAAATTATATCTACTGACTCTGTACTCTTCAGAGCGAGATGTAGCACTGCAATTACTGGTGTTTGGCTGCAGAAATAGGTAGTAGTAAAACTCAGACGAAAAGAGGGCAAAAAAGGAGTTTTACCATTTAGCGTATTAACAACTTAAACTTAAACTTAAAACTTATCTTCACGCACAATCCCTGACGGGGTAGCCAGAGAGAACAGATCGCCAAGTGTCACGATCCTTACATATCTCTTTCGCCTCTTTCAGATTCATTATCTTCTTCATACATGCACGTCTAGGTATCCGAGTACTCTTGACCCTACCCTCTTCGAGCAATTTGCTCACATGGTCTTCGAAAGTTAGTCTCGGTCTACCTCGACACCTTTTAATATTAACTTTCGCGCTATATATTTTCTTCACCATTCGGTCTTCACTCATTCGCTCAACGTGCCCAAACCACCGAAGCACGCCCTTATCAATTTTTGTGATAAGGTCATCTTTCAAACCTGCCATATTGCGAATCTCTTCGTTTCGCTTTCGGTCGGCCATAGTAACGCCGCACATTTTACGAAGAGATCGCATCTCCACTGCATTCAACTTACTTTTATGCTTCTTCTGGCATACCCAGGTTTCGCTGCCATATAACAAAGTCGGTACCAACACTGCGTTATGTATTGCAAGGCGTGCACTCTTCGCTACGCCTTGCCTTTTGACTAACGCAGTCAGGGCACCATTGACTTTGTTCCCGGCAGCGACACGCCTGTCCACATCTAAATCACATCTTCCATCCCGGCTAAAAGCACTCCCCAAGTGTACAATTTCATTTACCTGTTCTAGACATTCCTGATTTACCCATATTTCACACTTCGTTCTCTCTTCGTCCCTTTCAAATACCAGAACCTTAGTTTTATTAGCATTCAAACGGAGACCTTTAATTTCACATTCCTCTTTCATACACGTGACTAATGCCTGCAGTTCTGCCTCTGATGGTGCAATAAGCACTGCATCATCAGCATACAGCAGACAATTTACTTTTATGTCACCCAATTTCACACCCAAACAGCTATCTTTCAGCTTTTGTAAACAGCTGTCGAGATACAGTATGAACAGCCAGGAAGACATGACACAACCCTGTTTTACGCCCGTTTGGACGCTAAACATGGGTGACAGGTCATGCCCTACCCGCACACAGGCTTTACAGTCACAGTAAAGAGACTGCACGGCCCTTAGCAATCGGCCATCCACACCATACCCCGGCAACAGTTCCCACATTTTCTTCCTTACAACCTTATCAAATGCTTTCTCAAGATCCACAAAAGCACAGAAAATCTTCTGGTTAACAGCCAGAAGCTTTTCCGTGATCATACGGAGAGAAAACATTTGATCCGTGCATCCTCTTCCAGGTCTAAATCCGCATTGTGCCTCCCATAGAAATCTTTCCGATTTCTCTTGCATCCTACGTGTCAAAACCTTCGAGTAAACTTTACTTGCTAAACTGGTCAAGCTGATCGCCCGATAGCACCCGCAGTCAAAATGTGAACCTTTACCTTTATATAAAGGCACAATGACTGCGGATCGCCAATCATCCGGGACATCCCCCGTCCGCCAGCACAAATTGCACAGCAGATGAAAGCTGTCCCAGACGCGAGGCCCACCATACTTGACCATTTCAGCAGTAACTCTGTCTAGTCCCGCAGCCTTACCACATTTCAAACTTCGAATCGCACGTTCAATCTCTTTCATACTGATGACCTCAGTGTCATCGAGGTCCGGGTCTGGCGTGCCAGTCACGGCGTCATCCCCGGATCCCTCACTAAGATCATCACACGCATACATTTCTCTATAAAATTCGCTCCATCGCTGCATGACGTCCGATTTTTCTGAGAGGACGTCATTAGTTCTCGAAAGCACTTTGTTCATTCTTAAGGCCGTCGCACCACTTCGGGTCCTTCCAACCTCTTTCCAGAAGAGTTTGGAGTTCTCCTTAAAGTTGTGCGACAACCTTTCATCCGCTTCCATTCTACACCTTTCACGCACTTCCTCAATCAATGCTTTCGTGTGAACTTTCTGCAGCTTATATCTTTCTTTCATCTTCTCTCTCATATCCTTATCATTACTAGAGGCCAAGTAGTCTAACCATGCTTTCTTCTTCTTCTTTACAGCTTCTTTCACTTCATCATTCCACCATGCATCTCTTCTTTTACTACTGCCTCTTTTTATTGTCCCACACACTTCTTCCGCTGCACTTACCATTCCATCCCTAAGGTTCTGCCATGTTCTTTCTACACATTCGTTTCTGCCATCGATGGTGTCAAGCTTTTCGGCTACCCTCGCATGATATTTGTCCCTAGTATCCGTTTCCTGAAGCTTCCAGCTTCGGATGCGACAGACCGACTGTGGTTCTGTCACTGTCGTCCGGTAGCGCCAACCCGCGAACAGACCCCTAAATCTAGTAATCACTAGATAGTGATCCGTTCCCAGGTCAGCACCCCTGAACACTCGCGTATCCATAACCTGTTTTCGCAGTCGGTCATCCACCAGGAACAAATCGATCATACTTCTCTCATTCTTTCTTTCTCTAGTATGCATATGGATTTTCTTGTGATTAAACATAGTGTTTGTCACAAGAAGACCCTTTTCCTTGCATACCGCCAGTATAAGCTTGCCAGCATCATTAACCCTTTTATCGCCAAACTTTCCAAGTACCGACTCGTACCCTGGTCGAGCGGTACCAACCCATCCATTCAAATCACCACATACAACAATCCTTTCGTTTCCCCTAGCCAAATCTAGAACTTCTCTTACATTCTCCCAAAACTCCTCCAGCTCAGCCCTGGACGACGAAGCCACCGGCGCATAAACAGCCAAAAGGAATAACTTCGTCAGTCCCAATTTAAAGCGAACCCAGAGAAGTCTTGAGTTCACAAACTTATATTCAGTCATAACATCGACCAACCGAGAAGACAGCAGCACCCCCACTCCCTGGCAGGCGTTCTCGCTCTCCGGGACTCCGGACCATAGAGCTAACGCCCCGCCAGGGAGCTCTTCAGTACCACTGCCCTTCCGTTTGGTCTCCGACATACACACGACATCTAATTCTCTTTCTTTCATTATTTCGATCAACTCATTCGTCTTATCTCTCATGCCTCCTCTAACATTCCACGTGCCAACTCTGCACTCCGTCCTCCACCTTCCGCCGTGTCGGGCTGTGCGTGACGGGTGGCGGTCCCCATCGCCGCTTTGCGCGCTGCATTCCACACCAACGGGGACGAGCTGGTGTGCGTCGCCTTGGGGGGACGCCCTAACCCTCGTTGACATGGGTGCGCAGCTGAGTAGAATTGCAGCCCTGAAAAGGGCTGGCAGGGGTCGCGACGAGCACGCTTCTACAATGACCCCCAAATTACCCCGTATTAACAACAAGTATTAAATATATGTATGTCTTTCAGGGTTATGTCCTCTGCGTTAAGGATTACGACTTCATGATATTAAACAACGCCTTCCTCACCCACAAGCCCGGCATCAAGCACTACGTGAAGAATCCTAAGAGAGACGCCATCGCCGGTCGACAGTCTGCTTTCGTCAAAAACGTTATCATGCCTGAACTTAAAAAATTATACGGCAACAGAAATGGATGTGCGCTGTGACCAATGTACAGACTAAAAATACACACGCACAAAAAATGACGCGCTAATAAAATAAAAAAAACCTGCGTAGCGTTGACGTGCCTTAGTGCCATCATGTCCTGACTTCAAGAAAAACTACAGACAAACGAAACATATCATATTGTAATTTTTAAGTAATATGTATTTGCTTAAACATATACCCATTAGTGTAAGCTCCTAAGATTTTTTATCCATTGTATCTTATACGCGATTTACACACGTAATAAGTGCCTGATGTAGTGACAAACAAATACAAAATGACCAATAACTTGACTTCCTGATATCAAACTTATGCGAAAGACCCGTCTAATACTAAAACAGTTCTGTCCAGACTTTTCATGTTATATGTACAACATATACATAAGGATGAATCTCTACTTACCATTAAGTCGAACTTAATTAGAATGATATTATTTAAATTTAATTTTAAACAAATGCAATTTTTATCTGTTTTGGGACGAAAAATAGTTTCTAATTCATATCAGACATTTTTGTTAGTTTCTACAATTGTAAATATTTCCCTATGGTGGGGTGATGACAAAAATCCATTTACACGTTTCACGTTAAGAAAATATCTTGATCTTCACTTTAAGTGTTTCTTAACAGAAATCGATTGTTGTCATCGTTCTCATAGAATATCGAAATCATTTATTTAAGTAAGTGTATTATTTAAGTTATCAAGTATTTGAATAATTTTAAATCGTAATTAAAATAATAGACTTCAATATAATGTGATGATTGTAAGTTTGATAATTATAATTATGTACGCTTAAATTATATTATTATGTATTTAAAATGATTTTTAAAAGCTCATGTCCTATTTTGCATTTTGCCTCCCTTATTATGTATATCATGATATATTGTAAGCGTAAGTAAAATTTTTTGTTACATTAATTTAAAAAAAAAACTATGTAAGTCACTACTATAAGCTATGATGATGATATACTGATACTGATGTAATCCTGACGAATTCTATTAATATACTTAAATATTTTGAGAAAGCGAATTTTCTAAATTTTATATTCAAGCGAAACGATCTGTACCCAGCCTAATTAGATATAAAGTGACTTAAGATATGTGATAGGTCTTACGATTTTTATGGTGATAGTGAAATTAATTAAATTAGTGATTAAACTCACCACGTTCGAAAAATAATTTTAAGTTATAATTTATAAGTTCTGTAAAGTTAGTTTTATAAGCGCTACCGTCAATATAAAATACTTTCATAAAGCAATCAATATTTTGGATATTTTTAGCCTGTATTTTAGATAATTTTAGTTCTATTTGTAAAGGGGGTTTGGTTATGGTAAACGCATGTGGTGAGTTTTCACTTTTGGGCAGCAAGTGCCTCTTAGTACGTAATTCAATACCTATTAAAGAGTCTCTCAATGTGATCATTTACGAAATTGTATTTATCGATATGTAATAGCGTATTAAGGTATTTTACCTTGTACGTAAAAGTTTCATAAGAATATACAGGTGTAATCTGAATAAAAAGAATGTAAGTGTAATGTTTTGTTTTATTTTGAGTCCTTTTACAACGTGTCCCTAAACTCAACGTCAAGCGGGCGCTGTTGAGGGGGGGGGGGGGGGTCATACCAGCCCCGGGAAAATAGAGAAAAATCCATGTCAGTTAGTTCAGATATAACTGAAAATGACTCAAATTGATGCCTTAAATCATTAGGTGTTGTGGCCATAAATTTTTCAATTTTACAGTGTTTTTTCACCAACGTTGTCTTAAATAAACGTGCTATTAATCGCAGTCACGAATCGAGCAAAAAAAACTAGATTAGTAGTTTCTTTTAGTCGTAGTTGAAAAAATCATCATCACCATCATTACAGCCCTTCACATGTCCACTTCTGAACATAGGCCTCCCCCAAGGAATGGCACAAAGCACGGTCCTGAGCCACCTGCATCCATCAACATCCTGCATATCTTACCAGGTTGTCACCCCATCTAATGGAGGGACGCCCTACACTTCGCCTGCCGGTACGAGGCTGCCACTCGAAAAACTTTTTTCCCCATCGGTTGTCGGTTCTTCGAATTATATGGCCGGCCCATTGCCACTTCAGCTTACTATTCCGTTGGGCTATGTCGTTCACTCTGGTTCTACTGCGGATATCCTCATTTCTAAGTATATCACGCGGAGAAACTCCGAGCATAGCCCTCTCCATAGCTCGCTGAGCGACCTTGAGCTTCCTCATCCGGCCAGCAGTGTAGGACCATGTTTCAGTTCCATAGGTCATCACTGGCAACACGCACTGGTTGTACAGTCTCGGTTTCAAGTTTTGATGTATACCTGCCGAGAAGATGTGCCGTAATTTCCCGAACGCTGCCCAACCGAGTTGAATCCGTCGATTGACCTCTCGGCCGAAGTTGGACTCACCTAGTCGGACTATTTGTCCCAGGTAAACGTACTCGTCAACAACTTCGAGCTTAGTGCTCCCAACAACTACCGGCATAGGTGTGACATGGACATTAAACATGATCTTTGTTTTGTCCATGTTCATCCTAAGACCTATTCGTTGGGAGACACTATTGAGGTCATTGAGCATGGTTCTTAGGTCCTCCGGCGATTCTGCCATAAGGACTATATCGTCGGCAAATCGAAGGTGAGTGATGTACTCGCCATTGATGTTAATACCGTATCCTTTCTAGTCCAGAAGCTTGAAAACGTCTTCCAATGAAGCGGTGAAGAGTTTCGGGGATATGACGTCACCCTGTCTTACACCTCTCTGCAATTGGATAGGTTTCGTACTCTGGTTCTGTACTCGGATAGCCATCGTAGCCCTACTGTACAAGCACTTCAACACTTCGATATACCAAGAGTCAACTTGGCATCGCTGAAGGGACTGCAGCACCGCTCAAATTTCGACGGAATCAAAGGCTTTCTCATAGTCCACATACGCCAGACATGTGACAAATTGTTCGGACTTCTGTACAATTTGCCGAAGGGTATGTATGTGGTCTATGGTGCTAAAGCCTTTTCGGAAACCGGCTTGTTCGGGAGGCTGGAAGTCATCAAGTCTGCGCGCGAGACGATTCGTAATGACTCTCGAAAACAGCACATAGACGCGACTCACTAGGGAAATCGGTCTGTAGTTATTCAAGAGAGCGTTGTCACCTTTCTTGAAGAACAAGACCACCGCACCTCTGCTCCACGCCTCCGGCGTAATGCCTCCACAGAGGACGGAATTAAGGAACTTCAGAAGCTCCGCTGTAATTCCATCCTCGCCTGGGGCCTTGCCGATTTTAAGGTGCTGGAGAGCCATTCTATTCTCGTTCAGACTGACGTCCGGGATATCATCGGATTAATGTCGGACAAGACTCGCTCTTGGATCGTTACTCACACTTGCGTGTGACTCCAATGATGATGTGTACAGTTGCCCATAGAATCTCTCAATCTCACTCAAAATCTCAGGTGTCCCGGAAATGACACTGCCAAACTCGGTCTTCAGCTTCGACAGTTGGCTCTTTCTGGCAGACAGATCTCTAGCAAAGACATTGGAGTCTTGGTTCTGCTCGATCGCTTCTTCAATACGAGCAGTATTAAAGTTGCGTAAGTCCCGCCGCATGCACTTGAAGATCTGTTTGTTCAGTTACCTGTCTGCTGTCAAATCTACTGAAGACTGCAGCTTCATATCCCGTCTAACAGCCATGAGATTAAGAGTGTGATCGGAGAGTTTTTGTGTTCTTCTGCGGCGGGTCTCAAAACTTAGCTCCGACCGCATGGACAGTTTCCACGAGCTTGTCATTCATATCGTCCACTGCATTGCAATCTCCTAGGCACTGAAAACGGTTTCGTAGCTCGAGCTGAAAGGTTTCGGGACTTTGGATTAGAGCAGGAGGGGACGGAGCGTAGACTTCATTAGACGTGACCTCTCCAACTTAACGTTTCGGTTCAGTGTGCCTCCCACCATTCGGTGATCGCTGCCGATTTTCACCCTCGCGATCACTGAGACATCACTGAACAGTTGTCGTCTGGTCGTCATAATGAAGTCAATTTCATTTTTTGTCGAACCGTCGGGGCTCGACCAGGTCCAATTACTGTGGGGCCGCTTCTGGAAGAAAGAGTTCATCATAAAGAGTACCTCTTTCTCCATGAAGTTGGCCAGCTGCTGGCCCCTTGGGTTCCGTTGCCCCATTCCGAATTTCCCTACTTTCAGCTCACCGTTCTCTCTTGTGCCTAATTTTGCGTTAAAGTCTCCCATTCACTCTGTATAGTGGGTTTTGGAGAAATGCATGGCTCTAGAGATATCCTCATACATTTCCTCCACCTCGTCATCGGGAAGTGCCGAGGTTGGTACGTAAACCTGTATGACCTTCAGCGAATACCGTTTGGTGATTCTGAGTATATATAATATATATATCTAAGTGACCTCAGATAATCCTATGATATTCCAGCGCAACTTGTCTATCTCTTCTTCCAGCTCCAGGATCTTCTCGTCAGTCCTCAGGGTTCGTGCGTTATAAGTTGCCAGGTCGAGTCATCGTAGGTGGCAACCGAACCTCCACCGGAGATTCTTAGCACCCCCTGCCCCGCTGTTACCATGGTCGCCACCGTAGCCAGGAATAGCGGGGCCGCTGGGGACTGGGGGCCGTCTCTTCGTTACTATCATGGGGGGTATATTGCCATAGTTGCCACGCTTGGCGAGCGGGTTTGCAACCGCAGTTTTTTTATTGTTGTTTGCTATTATCAGAAAGATGCTGCTGCCCATCCTCTGCCTCAGTTTCCCTCTGTCGCCTCTTACGACACCCACGGGAAGATATGGGGTAGTGAGTATTCTTTCCCGCCACTACACGGGAGTTGAAAAAATAAGATCACCTAACTTTGACTTTTCATTTAAAAAAACATAGTGTAACCTAGGCAGGTTACTTCAAATGATGGCACATTTATCCTAGATTTCAAAATGGTATAATACGTATGTTGTTTTATACCCTTGAATAATAAAATTAATTTGAGTTTCTGAAATAAGACTGAAAATCAAAGCAGTTCCACACCTCCACCATAATACATTTTCGTCTATTAAATATTGAATTCAACAAGTGTAAATAAGACAGAAATGTTTTTGAATGAAACAGATAATAACGCAATTTCATGTGAGTTAGAGCGAGACAGGTTAATGTGATTGCCGAAACACATGTTGACGCTTTGGCAGCTGTTTTTTAATGATCACTACACTCCTTTATTTAATATATCAAAATATTAATATTAAATATTTGTTAGCAGAAATTGTAAAAGTTCCAAAAATTAATCTCAACAGTTCTAATGCGAGATCCAGAACTAAACCAAATATTAAATAAAAACCTTTAAATACTTTTATACTACCGGTACATAATATGGAACAAGACCTGCCCATAGGTTAGCCAAGTTGGCTCCCTACAATCGTTAACCCCAATTGATAATTATAAAAATAAAAGCATTGTTATGTCTCCATCCATCCATCTATTACAGCCTAAAAAAGTCCACTGCTCACATAGGCGGCCTATGACAGGCCTCCGCCATAAATTGCTTCGTAAGAGGCAAGATTTTGCCATAGTTGCCCCGCTTGGCAGGCGGGTTGACAACCGCAGCTTTTTATGATTTTAAGTTGTTACATTGATGCCCATCTCCTGGTTTGTTTCCCTCTGTCGCCTCTTACGATACACGTGGGATGATATGGGAGAGTAGATAAACTTACACCGCCGCGCCACTACGCATTCCCATTCGTTTTTAAAGATTTCTACTAGCGTCACCAATTGTAGAAAATAACTTGGCTGAACCCGCTGTGTCGTTTGATTTTATTGGGTGACTGTCATAAAATTATATATTTGGTAAAGAATCTCACATAATTCTTTGTCCTATGTTACTTGTTGAAGCAGAGCCGGAA